TTCAAGACCCTGTATTTCTGAACTCTCTTTACTCCCTTTTATTTGTTTGCAAAGACACAATTTCCTTCTTAACCTCATCAATTTCTTGCAATATTTTGCTGAATATATCCAATAGCAACCTAAAAAGACTGCCAATATTCTGTTTTCCAAGGTTTTCCTCTAGAAGCTCAAGAGAAACACAACCTGAATCTGAACTGTTGCTGATGTCAGTTTTACCGCATGTTTTCCTACTTCATAAAAGGGCTCTTCGCTTTTCCATCCCATGATATCCATTTCCTTGTTGCCATTAACCAGTTGCTGAGACTGTGCAATGATTTATGTTCTTAGAGCAGCATGCTACTTCAAGTTATCAAATTGCATTTGGGGATAAATTAGGCAAACTACATTAACAAAATGACCTTACAATCCCAGTGATGTCACTTGCTTCAAGATTTATTTTGTGTTGACATGAAGCCTTATGTACGTGGGTCACTGTCCTTCACTTTGTGCCTTTACCATGTGTCCCTGTAGCAGGATAGGAGAGAAACGGAGGTAAACCCAATCTTAACCTCCAAAATTAGACACATGATCTCCATCTAACTTAACAGGGCTGAGGAAGCACCTGGGAAATGTAGAGAAGCACAAGGAATAGTTGGATAGTCCCATCCCTACCACAAACATTTTGGACTTGTTATACGATGTATAACAAAATCTTCCCAGTGGTGATTTGAGTGGACCATTGAATATGTGAATTTGGGGTTTAGAGAAGCAGCCCAGATTGGAGACATAAATTTGACAGTTATCAGCATATCATTATTGCTTGGTATTGTGATGAGACCATCTAGGGAATGACTCTGGATATAAAAGAGAAGACATCCAAGGACTGAGGTCCAGGTCACTCCAAGGTTAGAGATTAAGCAGATGAGAGAATCAGTGAAAGAGGCTGAGTAGGGGCAGCTACCAAGGAAGGAAGCAGCAAAGAAAGGAATGCCCTAGAAGTCAAGCAAAAAACTGTTTTCATGAAGAAATAGTTCAACTGGATCTAAAGGTATGATGGGTCCAGTTAGATAAGAACTAAGACTTTCTAGCTAAATAGCAACGGAAAGGTTGTTAGTGGCTCTGACAAGAATTTTTGGTGGACTTTTGGTTAAAGAGAACATAATAAAAGAATGGGAACCACTGAAAATAGACAACTCTTTTGAGGAATTTTGTTCTAAAGGGTAGACAAAATTGGGATATTAGCTAGGGTAGTTTGAAAGGGTCACGGAAGCTTTTGGTTTGTTTGTTTGTTCTTAAGCAAGGAGGTGTTAAAACATATTTCCATGTGATAGGAACTAAGTATTTGTGGTGATAAATGTATGAATTACAGACCCAGGTTAGGTCACAAAAATTTAACCCCCATATCTGAAGTGTGGTTCTGTTGGCAGGACTAGAAACTGTATGCCACAAATAACAATGTTGAAAGGTGAAATAGACCCAGAGATCTAGGCGAAGGCAATAGTAACTCAGACTTACTGTGCAATATTATAATTTGTCTTATCATTTAATACATAGTTGATAGGCACCTAATAAGTTATTCCATTCACTAAAAATACCGGTGTGCAACACCTAGCGTCATGCTAAAAACAGGGATTACAAGAGTGAAGCAGACAGACATCAAGGGACACTGGAATGCTGGCTAGGGTTTTCCTTCACATAAATGACAGGCGAAAGATAAACGCTGGGGAGTTGTCTCTACTGGTGATGCCATTCATGACTGTTCCCTTCAACCAAGCCCAAAAATGTTTCAAACTCTATTCCATTGCCTGCTTAATTGACCTGCTCCTGTGGCATATGTCTTGGATATGTGTCGATTTATATTTTCCGCCTAGACTGAGATATTCAAAGATATCTGAAGGGACAGGAAGGGTAGTGACGCTAATTTTCCAAAGCACACTATAAAAAGAAGGTTGGATTAGTGAGCCAAGCTTCTCAGTTTAACATCTGAAAATAAACTTCTCCTTTCATAGGATTTGAATGTGGTTTTGTTTAAAGGAAGCTGTGGCTCTTGTAGAAATGAAAAGTAGACTCTGAGTGCTAGCATAACACTGCGTGTGTTTGTGGTATGAGAACCTGGGCTGCAGTTGACAGAGTGAGTAGAGGCAGGAAGGGAAACCGGGGCAGGCAGATAGACTTCTATCATTTACTTCACTGAGTGCCTTAACTGTGCTATGAGTTTTCAACTCTTTTCATTGTGCATCTCATCAATCAAGAGTGAATCAAAGACCCATCTCTCTGAGGTCTTAATTTGATAAACCATTTAAATGGAAGGAAATTAGAGAAATTTATGATTAGCTAAATGAAACTACTACAAGTCAGGCAATTGATTGGGAACAAACTACAGAAGATTTAAAGTGACTCATTCATGCGTTTGAAGATTAAAATGCTGTTAGATTTTTGATTTTAGAATTTGATTTTTCTGAAGAATTAGATTTAGGTTTAGAATTAGAATTAGATTTTAGAATTAGATTTAGATTTAGAATTAGAATTAGATTTTAGAATTTGATTTTTCTGAAGCATCGTTTTATGGGCAGGATGGGAAGACTCAGTGTGACAAATTTCTTAAATATCATTTGGTGGTTTGCAAAGTGAACTTTAAACTCTCTTCCTTTTTTCCCCAATAAATAGAAACACATTTATCACGTGCTTTTACTTATGTGACCTCCTCTTTGCAATTTCAGTTACCCCAACTATAAAATAGAGGGGTGCATCTAATAGGACAACCTGCTATTCACCAAACTGTATGACATGCATTATAATGTAGAACAGTGCTAACAGATCTTTCTGTGATGATGTGACCATTCTCTAATTCGCACTGCCCATTATAGTAGTCACTGGCTACAAATAAGTATCGAGTGCTTGAAATGTGGCTAGTATGATGGAGAAGCTGAATTTTCAAATTTTAATTAAAGATTCTCATAAGCCTAATAACTATCATATAGAACATCCCTTTTACAAAACTCTCTCACACTCAGGCACACATAAACGATTTTTTTCAAATGTAATATTTTATCACATATCCTCCTAATAAAGAATTTGTTTTGTTTACTTTTTTAGCTTGCTTTTGGAAATACTGTGTCTAAAGTTTTTTCTCTGAATGCAAGAAAGAACATTAGAAAAAGATACACATCTACTCAATCTACTGCTTAAAGGTTGTAGTTATTTCAAGCATAAAGAACTGTGGCATTTATCCTGCATATTACACGTTTGAGGTTTATGTTGTAAATAATGACAAATCAGACGCACTTTTGAATGGCATGGGACTGTCAAAATGGTTTTGTAGAGCTAAAGTTGAGAGTGCTGAATCTATTGTATACTTTCTATAAATTCATTGTCTGCATAGAGTTTTGTCCAGTGATGACTATGCTGTTGAGTTATCAATTAAAATATTTTAAGAAGCATCTTGGAAAATTAAAATAAATTATATTATCTTAATTTTTGTGGAAAATATGCACCATTGTCCTTTCTCTTTTTTATGATTGTGCTGGCTACTATCTCTTTTCTGTTAATTTGAACAATTGTCACTGAGACTACTACAACCAAATAAGTACATGACTAGGGAGCAGAAATACATCATTTATTGGACTCTAGGAGAAAGTGGTACTAGATGTCTCAAAGATAGATATTAAGAAAAATTTCTTACAGAACAATTTGCCTTTTGGTTTCTTAATTCTCATCTCTGCCTCCTCCACAACATCAGAAACTATTTGAGGCTCTCAGCATATCTATAAGAAACTAGACTCAGTGTGCTAAAAACAATAAACAAAACAAAACAAACTCATTGGCTTTTCCTTTATTCATTCTTTTTTCACATCTATACATCAAGCTGCTCTTGCTCACATCTGAACAAGATTATTTAATCAGTTCAAAGCTGGGAATTCAACTGCCACTTGTGCCGGCACAGAAACATTGTCAAAGTAACTTTATAATTAAAGGATATTAATGACTAGAATAGCTGGCCAGATGAGCCTACCCACATTCCCTTACTTCATGATATGGGGGAAATGCAGTTTATCTACATAATATTAATTGTGTGGTGCTTAAAGATAAAACTATCTCATAAGACAGATTGAACAACATGGCTTGCACTAAAACAATTTTAAAAAATACATTAAACAGACCAAGTTGAATTATATGCCCGTAGTGCTACATATGTGCTGGTTAGGAGCCACTCAAATGTACATACGTATTAGTTGCTCAATAATGCCTGAGTATTCCCATGTATTTATACCAGTTGTGAACACAAACACAATATTATCATAAAGAAAGACAAAAACTCCTGCTTTCATCATCTCGTATTTATTAACTTTGGAGCAGTTGGACAATATTCAAGCATTTTGAAGCTTTAGGGGTAACGTCATTCAAAAAAGCTTTTGATACTTCTTCCTTTCAGAAGAATCTATTAAGTTATCTTTTAATAATTTACTTTTAGAAATTTAATTCCCTAAAGCTATCTGTAGATTAAAGGTAGAATTTGCTAGACTTTTCCTAGTGTGAGTAAATTTCAAGACAATGTAGCTAGGAATTAATGTCCCCTCATGAAAAACTGGCTATGCAATTGGTGTCAGGACTTAGAAATCCACATTCACAGTTTGCTCTATGAAGCTTCACATAGGAACAAAGAAGAAAAAAAGATAATGTGTTTCTTAGAAACTAAATGAAAAGTCCCTTTAAGTTGGTGACTTCCCACTGAAATATAGCTGGATTTGGTAATATGCAACACATTGGAGAAATAAATGAGATGATTTGTCATGTTCTTAGAAATTATCTCTTAATTTCCTACTATGTTAAAAGAATGCCTATTTCAAACTATACTGCTGACTTATTTTCTACTCTGTATAAAATATTAGTAAAAATTAAAATGTGAAATAAAATAGTTGTAAGTAGATAAAACATTTTTCTTTTTTCTTCATGGAAGTCTTGTATGTATATATTATATTATGAGACAAATGCATTACATGTTAGAATAGAGTATAAATCAATATACTGTGATTCTTATTTTAATTAAATTGAATTCCATAAGCATAATTTTGAATTAAAAAAATAAGACAGGAAATCAATTTGTTTAATCTCACTTTAAATCTTCACTATGAGAAATTTTTAGGCTAAAGAAGGTTGTAATACCTTTGGTCAAAGCACGAAGCAGCAACACCCGGTTGGATTAGAAGCTTACGAATATCAAAATGGGAGCAAAAGGAAAGAAAGAGCTTCCAAGGAATAGGACACATTTTTATAATTCATCAGAAGGTTGGGGAAAGGTGAGCAATAGAGACCGTAACTTCTTAAATAATTCTTTCAAACAGCAAGTCCTGCAGGGTATTAACTCATGTTCCACTGCTAACTTTCCAATGAAAGTTTATGAAAAGTGGAATTGGTTAGCTTTCTCAAAATTCATTTCTCTTTGCTACAGCCCCTCTATTGCAATGAAAAGAATCATTCATTTACTGTTTTTTCCTCAACTTAAGTTTAAAGATGTTCAGCAGTTGGAAAGTTTTCCCCAAAACTAAAAAGGTGTAAACAAAACCACTCTGTGTTTTAAGTACATGTGTTCATTTTCATATTTCTTTGCATTTATTTTATTCTTTGGATTGTAGTTTAATTCATTTTTAGTTAAGATTAATAACTACCTATTTCTCTCTTCTAATACAAATATACCTTCTCATAACACTCTTCCTTTCTATGCTAAAATGAACCTCTGCTCTACTGGCCAAACTTCCTTCCTCCCACATATCAGGTCTGTTTGATAGTGATTATTAGGGTTTAAAGCAGTGCCTTCCAGAGGTTTAATAAACTTCTGCTAAATCTCTGGTCCAAGGAATAAGTTATCTTTGTGTTTTGAAAGCATATCCAATGCACAATGGGCGTATGTGCCTAAATTACAGTAACGTCATAGTTATTGCTGAGAACTGGGCCTTCCAGAATATCAAATCTCATACTTTGATAGGTAAATTAAAAAGAATTTGAATCATTTTAAAGCAATCATTCTCAAACACATTATACTCTTCAATGCCTTATTAAACACAGTCTATGAAACAGATTAAATGGTTTCTTAGGTGATTCAGTAACATCAAGAGATTGCTTATTGTGCTAGGCTAAAATTATGCACCCACCCCAGACTGCTCTGGTGGCTTCCTACTGCATGATTCTTTGACTTCCCCCATACTTTCCGTGTGTAGTTGTTCTCTTCATAATCACACACTGCTGCTCTTAATTAATTACCAGTTGTAATTAGAGAAACGGAGAGTTATTAGGGAACATGAGATATCCAGGCTCGACAAATGAGTAATATCCTTAACTTCTTAGTTCTAAATCAATATTCTCTGACATGCAGGTATTTTTTCAGTTCTTTGGGAAGATAAAGTTTTTTGGCTTAATTACTGCTTTTTCTCCTTGCTCAGAGATCTTTTTTCTCTTGTTTCTGGAACTGGGGCTGTGTTTTATTTGGTTGAGCCTGATTGAAATTTGGATATCATAAGAGATGCCTAATTTCATAACCATTACCCAAGAGGCTCACAGACAAAGGACAAGAGAGTAGTAAAAGTATTCAAGAGAAAATACATAGCATTGTCTTTCTTTGTTTCCCAATAACGAACAAACAGATTCTACCTAAATTTACCTAAATTTTAAATCAGCCTTCAGTTATCATTCTCCAACTGTATAAATGTACTTGGTAAATGCATATAGACAGCATTTCACTGTATTGTGTTTTTTAATTGTTTCTTAGAAAAGTAAGATTTGGGGCCAAGTAACCATCCCTGAATAACTACAATATGTATTTTAAAAACATCCATGCATTGAAATGACCTGTGTAATTTAATTGAAGCTGTAACAATACTGTGATGTGATGGACTGAAGTTCAAGCTTTGAAAAGGATTTGCAGAAGGTCAGTTCCTTAAAAGTTTAATTATTACAGAGTGTGAAGAACTTCACTGAAGCATCTTCCATGTTTCTGTGACATTTTACCCAAGGAAGTCGCGTCTGCAAAAATGAAAGTTGAAATCGTTAGAGCTAATGAGAACTCTGCAGATAAGGGGAAATCCATTAACTTCAGTTGAGAAGAGTGAAAACACTAATTACGTGATGTTTCATTATAGCTTTTATTTATGTTCCATATTTTTATTGTAAAGACAATGTGAAATGGTAATTTCAGATCAAAATGCATTAAAAAGAACATTTTCAACCTGTAAGCTAAGTGCTTGTGCTCAAGCCACACTTCCTTTCTTTGGGTACCTGCTATATTCTATTTCTTTTGAGTTTTCAATCTTCATTCAAAGGACATTGCTATGACAAAAAGAAACATAAAGAAAATCTGACTACTACTTTCTGTTTATTGTTATGATAACATGTTGATAACTGTGTATACGTTACTCTTTTTCAAGGGTCCAACCATATACTGGCATTTAGACATGGTATTTCTGCTATTTGAGAGTCATGTTAATTTATTTGCATAATGGTGTGTCAAAATTGTTCTAAAATTGTCAGTATAATACAGCAATGTGTGCTTCACGTTATTAAAAGTCTTAATGTATGTGGCAGCAAGAGGTGGCACAATTAACAGTCTTATTTCTACTACATTTCATCAAGAATCATGTATCCTTATTTGAATGTCAGGGACCTAGAACTTGCTAATTGCATTGAGAGAAGCTTGAAACCTTAGATAAAATACCTGTCTGAATCTGAGTTGCTCACAGCTGAGGCCTATTAAAAACTCAAAACTTTGGTCCAATATTAATGATTTGAGGAGGACATTGTATAAGTATCAGATTATCCTCTTTTCCAAAACACATATCAGGGAAGAGGTTAGCATTTGTTCTGGAAACTAGGTAACACACAGCAGCTATATCTAGACTTGACCTCAAACCAAGCAAAATTTCCACGATTAGTACCAGTTTCACTTTTAGTGTGAAGACACATAGTGAAACCCAGAAGGTGAAAACCCACAAATAAACCTCCTCCAAAAGAGTATACATCAACTCCCACAGAAGTGAAAGAAAGATTTTCATAAATTCTGAGATATTGTTTGTTTTAGAAATGTATGACCAGTGAAGTTAGCATCCGGCAATGACAAATTAACACCCAGAAGACCTTATGGGTCATGAAGAAAATATTGGCCTAGAAGTCCAGAGACCTGGATCCTGGATCTTTCTCTGAGAATCTGTAAAATTCTGTGCAAATCAACTTCCTCTCACTGCTCCAGTGTCCTCATTTGTTAAAAAGAAAAAAAAAAGGATTAGATTAAATGAGACTTTATGTTCTTGAATCTCTGAACACTTAGCTGCATGACTGTATGAACATTATTTAATGACCCTTAAGTTATCTATTAAATGATGCAATATGACATCTCCTGTTTAATTCACAGGAATAGTATGATAATAAGAAATAATATACCAAAAACTAATTTTGAAAAGTTGAATGGAAATGAGAAATATATTTTTTATGGTTTTTATTTTTCATAAACTATAAAACACGAAACTTCACATGAGGAAGTCAAAAAATATCTGAGATATCTTGGTGACAGTGGCAGGAAGCAATGAATAGAACTAATGGTTGAGCAGGTGAACCCACAATGATTGCCAAAAGGCAAACAGAAAATATATGATGTTAAGTTCTTTTCTAAAACTATTCTTTTGTGATATTACTATCTTGAGATTTTAGCAATAAGGACAGTGATTGTCATGATACTCAACAAAGTCTATTAAGTGAAGGACATAATACACTAATTTAGATTTCACCCAATAGTGATTCAGGAAACATTATTTTAATTCAACTCCCTTTTCATAGTTTAGTAGCTACCTGTAGTTTTTATGGTCTAAAACTTTATATGAAAATTTACTTGAAAAATGACTTTCCTGTATGATTTTTTCATCATAACCTGTTTTGGCTGAATTCAGAAATACTAAAGTGGGTGATAATCAAGGGTGGCACAGGTGATAGGGTACATGTGGAAACCAATTGAAGTTATTTATTGAGTTCAGTGTCATCATGTTTTCAATACATTAAGAAACTGGATGATTGTGACCCTGATTTCAAGGTTACTTGGTTTTTAACAGCAATTAGTTAGTTCCCACTCAAGTATAATGTGGTGATTTTTAACATCCATGAAGAGTGACTGAATCTCTAGATATAAAGAAAGAAATATCTCTAGATACAAAGAATGAAAGGCCAATCTGAGTTTTGAAGATGGTGCTGCTCAAAAGGCAGTGTTCTTGGGCGTATTCAGCAAGTCCTTTTCTATTTGCGAACATTCAGTACTTCATAACTTCAGTGATTAAGGACTCCATGGGGAAAAAAATTTCTTTTAACTAAGTCATTCTGAGAATGAGAAAGTTGAGGTAAAATATTGACTTCTCGTTGTGGTTTAGAACATTTGATGAAGAGAAAAAAATGGTGTGATTTAAATTAAGAGATGTTCTGGGGCCCTGACGTCATTGGTCTGAGGACCATCTTGAGAGAAGCAGAAAGAAGAGTTCTCTCTTCTGTAGCCTGAAATTGTCAAAGCAGTTCCAGGTTCTTATCTGTTGGGAGGGAGAATGCACCCTTTGTAAGCCCTACTGGGAGAAAATATATTGCCTAGACTTTATATTTAACAAACATTTAGTGTTTAAAACATATCATATGTATGATTAAATACACTGTTTAAAATATAAGCTCAGGATTTAAGCTTTCTGGATTTGAATTCTACTTGTATCACTTACTAGCTATGTGGTATTGTGAGTTAATATATCTAAGCTTTCCATTTTTTTGTATTATAATAATATTAACTAGTGATTACTGGGTACTTAACACATCAGGCACTATTCAAAGTGCTTAATGTGTATAAATTCATATAGTCCTCAGGATTTGACCCACAAAGCCTGACTTCCCTAGCTGACGATTTTACCCCTTATACTGTACTACTTCTCAAGATACTGGAGATAAAAATAGTACCTACTTTATGGAACACAATGATGAAATGAAGCAATGCATGTATAATACTAAGAAGAGGACCCAGTACAGAGTAAATTTTTAGAACTGTAATATAAGCTGTTATCACTTGCATGTATGGTTTGTCCAGTGCATTCTGGGACTAGTACAAGCATCTAATTTAATCTTCATAATACCACTACATTATTATCTAAATGTACAAACTGTAAAGAAAGTATCTTGATGGGAACAAGATAATGAATGATAGAACCAGGATTTGGATTAGGTGTCCTGATTCCATGGCTAATATTCTGTCTGCTACACCATTCTCTCTCTTGTGTTCCACGTTATCATAATTCTGGCAATGTAGTTATGGGCAACAAAAAGGTGTGTGTCGCTGGAATATGTTTTCTTCATAATGGAGGGATTGCTACCCATTTGTGTATATTTATGAAGGTGATTTATTTTGGTATCAGGATTTTAACTCTTGTTTGAATATTAACAGTCGATAATTATATAGGAGTTTGTGAGAATAACTAGATCATTTCTTTAGGGTAAAGTAGATCTAGTGCATTCCTTTCCTTCTTTAACGTCATTTAAGTTATTTAGCATCAATATACTAATTGAGCACAGAAATGTTTGAAAAAGTGAATTTATAACCTAGGAAATCAAAAAGGGGGTTTATAAACCAAGATGGGCCAATTAGCCCATTGTGAAATATGAATCAAAAGCCTGCATGTATTGTTACTTATTCAAGTTGTAGTCACGATTGGAATCCATTAGCCTCTTGAATTTGAAAGCCGGTTTCTACCAATCCGATCCATGGGGACACCAAATCGTCTTTTTGGATGATTTACTACTTTCCTGAAACAAAAACCAAGGAGAACAGTTTTAAGCTAAAGTCCAAGTTATCAGTCATTATCTTTGCTCTTTTATTTCATGCAGATCTGGGAGCTTTCTTCAGGAGTTGGAATAACCATGATCGTTATCATTCATCAGTACCCACTATGTACTAGACGTTATCTCTTATCCTTTCAACATCTATCAAAGTAGGTAGTACCATCTCCTTTTTACATCTGAGGAAACTGAGGTTTAGAGAAATTAAATAACTTACGCAAACTCAAATAGCCCAGATGAAAAGCTAGGTCTTATCAGTTTACCAATCTGCTAAGTATTCAGTTTGGGTAAGTTCCTCTGTCTTCAGATTTTGGTGTATTCTGTTAATTGAGAGGTATTGCACTAGGTTAGTGGTTTTCCCCAAGCTCTGCCTCAGAATGGTCTTCTGGGGAAGGATGGTGGTGGGAGAGGAACAGGAGCTGATGCCAAGACTGAATGTGGAAGTCTGCCTCTCATCGCCTCACTCACATTTTACCTAGAGAAGCTTTGTATGTGATGGCCTATGTTTGCTCTATGTTCTCTGAGTCTAATTACCTTACAAGACAACTCAATCAATTTTCTTTCTTTTTTTTTTTTTGAGGAAGATTAGCCCTGAGCTAACTGCTGCCAATCCTCCTCTTTTTGCTGAGGAAGACTGGCCCTGAGCTAACATCCATGCCCATCTTCCTCTATTTATATGTGGGATGCCTACCACAGCGTGTCATGACAAGAGGTGCCATGTCCACACCCGGGATCCGAACTGGCGGACCCCGGGGTGTGGAGAATCGGAAAGTGTGCATTTAACTGCTGCACCACCGGGCTGGCCCCTAAGACAACTTAATCAATTTTCAACAGCTTAACGAGTTAAAAAAGATTTGTTTCAGAACATTTTCAATAGTTTATTTAGTTCTTTTCTGATTACTTGCATTATCTTGTCAATATATACTATATAATTTAAGCACTATAAATGAATGAAAACTGCAATATCTATGATTGTTTTCCTATTATCATTTCCTATGTACCCATTATGTATAAGGTTCTTTTTGTGGCTGCCTTGGCATGAATAAGTCAGAAGTAGTCTCTGCTTTCAAAAACTTATAATTAAGTACTGTCAGATTGGTAATGATTTAATGTGAATAGTGGAGAAAAAATTCTCTCATTTTTCTTCATGTCAAGTTTTTACCTAAACTATCAGGTTTTATCAATGTTCTTTATATTACTCTTAGATAAATAATTTATTTAAAAAGTTGTGAAAAGTATAGAGAAAAATGGAAACATGAGAGATCTGTATTACTGTATCTTACACATAGAAATTTCTGTAAACATTGTTTAATTCTAATTAAAGCAATTAATCGGAAGGTAATTAATATTTCCTTAATGCTTTCTGTATACCAGGCACTGTGCTTAGAGCTGTGTATATAAGGATGATAAAAATAGGCATTCAACCTGATGTCAAGCTGACCCTCGAATGATATTGTACGAATAGAGCCATGTTATGTTTTTTACCTAATTCAGTCTTCTTTTCTCCTGATTCACATCCCTTTTCCTCTCTAGATTAGCCCTTAGTTTTGTTAATCAATGCAGATAGCATTGTATGCATGATCTTATAAGACTGGCTCCTCAACAACAGTTTGATCGGTGGGGGAAATCTGGGAAAAAATATACAGTGCTTATCCTTAGCTGAGCCATACCTCTGCCTCCGTTCTTCAGATTTCTGAAAAAACCCACCCTCTTATGCGGTGCCTATTCATTGCACTTCTGCATTTCTTGACACTAAATTGAATACATATTTTTCAACTTCATAATCAAGTTGGAAATATGCTATCTGTCAAATTAGCAAAAAATTAATGGTCAATAGTCCTATGAAGCTATGCATATCCGTCGTGCTGTAGGTCTTCTGAGGTAATTATAAATAACGACTGGTGAAAAATGAAGAAAAAATGTCTTCTTTATATTTTTTGTTATTTTTACTCACATAAGAAAATACACAGACTCTTAACTTCAGCAGTTATTTCTTTGTGGTAGTCAGAATAATGCCCCTCTCTCAAGAATGTCCACCTCACAGAATCTGTAAATATGTCGCCTTACCTAACAGTAACAACTTTGCAGATAGGATTAATAAAGACCTTGAGTTGAGAATATTAGCCTAGATTATCTGGGTGGGCCCAAACTAGTTACAGGAGTCCTTAAAAGTAGAAGATAACTGAAGAAGAGTGGGTCAGAGAGCTGCAGTCCCAGAAGGATCTAACCCACCTTTGCTGGCCTGGAAGATGGAGGAAAGAGCCAGCCATGGATCAAGAGATGCTGCGGCCTTTAGAAGCTCTCAAAATAAAACGGGGACCTCAGTCCCACAACAGAAAGGAAATGAATTCTACCAACAACCTGAATGAGCAGGAAATGAATTCTCCCCTAGACCCTTTAAGAAGGAACACAGCCAAGGATGTCCTGACTTCCTCTGTATCCTCCTGGCAAACCAGGCAAAAGAGAAAGCACAGAGCAACGTGCAGGAGGAATTTGAGGGCCCACCCACTGGCTAGCAATCAATCATATGGCTGCACCTAATTGAAAAAGAGACTGAGAAAAGTTGTCTAGAGTGATATCTGGTGACTGGTGCGGATCTACTGGACTTCTGACCTACACAATTGCAAGATAATAAATTTGTGTTATGTCTGGAAGTTTGTGGTAATTTACTGCAAATACATTTGTCTGTAGGATTTAGGAATTAGGGCTGACGTCCAAGTTTAATGTAGTTAATACATAAAAAAATTTAACTGATGGGATTTTTATTCCTTTAACTCTTAAATTCCTTCACTGACTACCAGTATTATAGCTCCAGGGCAGGGGTAAGGTGGAAGCCACCTCAGGATGGAGGAGAGTGCTCACAGGAAGTCCCAGCCAAACAGGAAGAGGAAGTGAGAAATCAGCCCCTTCCAGGTGTTTAAAGGGCTGGTGAGAAGAGGAAGGAAATGGCAGCTGGGAAAATAGTAATGCCACACATGTGTACTGGCTTCCCCACGCTCCTGGGGTGTTGATGATGCCATGAAAAATAATCCTTTTTCTTCTTTAAAGAGAAGTGTGATGGTCTCATACATCATTATAAATTAGAACACTTATTGGTCCACACTACTAATGTATTTTTTTCAAAAATGAAGGTGAAAGAAACGAAAATAGCATTTTTCTTTCTTTACTGCAGTAAACGAGAGGTGGCTGTGGTATGGCAGGCAGCAAAATAAACTCTTTTCTTCCTTCCTTCGTCCCTGGTTCTCTTTCTTTCCTTCTCTTCTTTCCCCCAGAATTGATTCAAAAAGTGTTAGGAACCAGGAAACGGTAGAAGTGGATTCTATTTGACTCTTCCACTTACTGATAGTGAAAGTGTGTGTAAGTCTGCTGTCGTTCTGAGCTTCCCCTTCCTTTTTGATAAAATTCAGATAATACCTGCTTTGCCTATCTTCCGGAGCTGTTTATTCGCTTAACACACTTATTTTTTAAGTAATATGTGATTGTTTGTGCGTAACCATATGTATTTGCTCTCTGTACTGGGGAAACAGAGGTGAAGAAGACAGATATTAACTGCTGGAGCCCACATTTTACTTGGAAGAAGCTAACGAGGTAACACGCCTGAAAACAGTTTATACATTTGAACTGATTTTATTATTCTTTCCTGTCCCAGTCCAGTGGTTGTCAAGCTCTTTGTAGCTTACTATTTCTACAAATAGAAGCTCTCTAAAAGAGAGCATTATCTAAAGAGCCAAGTGAAGAGTTGTCTCAGTAAAGGAGCCCCTCACCTTCCCCGTATATAGTGGCCCCGTAAGAGCTTCCAGAAACACTTAAGGGTCCTTAGAGCAGAGTTTGGTAACCACCCAATAGAGACATAGGTCATGAATATTTTTGTTCTAGCAATAGAGCCATAATTACTTTGATTCATTTTATCAAATTTGGGATCGGTTGCAAATGTTCACAGGTATCTGGAAATCGAATAAGGAAAATAAATAAAACATATATATGAAAGAATCCATTCAGTGTTTAGAATTTTTAGCACTACTGGAAAAATTGAAACAGTTATTTCCGTAAAGCAGATAAACGAAAAGTGGATCGAGGCTTACTAAGTTAGATAATTCCTATCCAGTCTCTGTCCAGTCAAAAGTAAAATGGCAAACTAGTAGTTAACATTTTTGCTGCTATGAAATGGAAATAATAGACTACACTCAATAACACATACACTGACAGGAATACACGGTGTGTAAAACGTACACTTTAAGATACAGAAATATTCTTATGACCAAAAGGGAAAACTGTACTTTCTGACTATCTAGTCCCTCTTGTGACAAAATAATGGTATGACATGGCTTATATTATATATCCATTTGACTCAACTCACCTTTTCCATTCTAAAATATTCTGAAAGTAGTTTAAGGATATAGAATATCTAGCAGACCAATATAAAGAGAATGGGTTGTTTATTTTAAGTATAACTTTAAACTTCACACTAAAATATCCACTTCCGGTGCCAAATAGTATTTTCAACATTTATATTCTTCAATAATTCAATTTCTGAAAATGTTTTACATCCTAAAACAACAGTTAGAAAAACTGCATTTAAGCTTTTTATTGAGAATCACTTCACACACACGCATCTATAAATTTATGTTCAGTTTAAAGAAAAATAAAATGAACATTCCTATCAGTAGCACTAAATTAAGAAATAGAATATTACCAGTACTTTAAATGTCCCCAGTTTTCCCCCTCCAAACTGCATCCCTTTCATGGCTCAGTCCCAGAGGTAATCTGTAGATTGAATTTTGGTTTAATAATTCTCTTGATTTTCCTTATAATCTATATGTATTCTTTTTTTTTCCTTGAGGAAGATTAGCTCAGAGCTAACATCTACTGCCAATCCTTCTCTTTTTTGCTGAGGAAGATTGGCCCTGAGCTAACATCCGTGCCCATCTTCCTCTACTTTATACATGAGATGACTGCCACAGCATGGT